AGTATTGTCTGGTCTTAAACCTACATCAGCCTTCATGGCGGACATCTTATCTATCAAATTTGTTATTATTTTCCTTTGAAAAAACATTCTTTTCCTGAAAGAATGATTAAAATTTCAACAAAACGGATATTAAAGCGTCCTTGGAACCGAGGTTGGGGCCTACGAGAGAGATGTTTTGGGTTGGTGATGTATACTTAATATTGTTATAAAAAAATCAGGTTTTAGCCGAGAGAGTGTTGGTGTTTTTTTTATATAGAGGCCAATAAATTGACCATTTATCCATCAAGCATATTTCAAGCTTTGTTTAAAAACATCTTATGACTGTTAAGGCCCACTTAAACACACGATATGATTGGTTTTTGGATTACCATGCAGATAGCTTGCTGATTTGATTTAAGACGTTCATAGTGGCTTCAGGTGATAATTTAAACAAAATAGTTGATGGTGTTTCGAATTTTCCTAACTGCTAAAAACAAATCAGGTGAATTGGTTGCTGAACATTATTTTGAATAAAATGTTGTAGTTGTACCTAGCTCTATCGCTGTTCCTAGTGTTACAGTGTATATCATTACGTACATCACACTAGTTATTAGTTATTATGGCGGTAAATGAGTTTATTTACACCTTAAGCTTGTTAATAGATACCATAAATATTATTGCATTATTATAAATTGTTTATATATTGCGCATACGTATATTTATATAAATTACGTTGTTTCGTTTATCACTGCAAATCAATAAGATTATTTAAAAAAGTAAGGTATCAAGTTACTGCGACAATTTGAGTAATGGTTAACATAGCACGCCCGATAGGACCACACCAGGAATCACACACAAAACAGGACCTAGTTGGCGAATATGATTTAAAGAAGTTACCACAATGTCTGTTTAAAAGTACGTATTTTGAATGAGATTCAATGGTTTAGTTAATAAAACAAAGCATATGATGGAATGAAGATTAATAAAGGAAAACTCCAATATCATAAATGGAAGAATTCACATGCCTCAGACTCAAGACGGTGTCATTCCTGTCTTAGAAGCTACCAGGTACGGGACATTGCTGTAAATGTGAAAAAAGGAGATACAAAAAAACCCGTCTTTATTCATTTATGTATAACAATTGACATTTACTACATGCGAATGCATCTGTTCTGTGTTTTCATAGTGTTATATCGTAGCGTACAGCGCGATAAATCAAGTCGTTTTTATTTCTGATGAATTTTGTTAACGTTGTATCACCACCTATTTAAATGATTTTATTGTCTGCCCATTTTGTCTGTATTAATTGTTAATGGCGTATATACATGTTAAGATGCATGGTTTGGTTCAGCTCTGCTAAGTTTAAAGAAATTTGCTGAGAAAAAAACAGACTTTTGTTTATCTTGCTTTAAGTTAACAAAATTGACAAAGAAAATGTAATTTCTTTCAAAAGTGCAAAGCCAATATTTAGAATAATCTATATGCAGTGAAAACAGAAAAATAAATGGCAGTAAAGTACAATTCATATGAAGGTATTAGTAAATCTGTTACCATAACAGCGGGTTTGAACGATAAGGATTATTAGTACGTAAATTATCTCTAATAGATTGATTGCTTAAATCAGTTTATTAAACGATTTCCATTATTGGTTGGGAGAGGCACGTTTATTGAATACATTTTGTATACAAACGTGTAGATTCTATACAAGGTGTTCTATGATGATGAAATATGCACTAAATATAATTTCTCAAAAAAAGTCTCAAGACTTTTTTGTCGTAGAGACTGTTTATTATTCAGCTTGCTATTTTCACACCAACTTGATTTATAAAGAAAATGGTCATGGACAGAAAGTCCCTGATTATTTAATGATAATGGCTACCATTAAAATCATACTGTCGGTAAATGTCAGCAAATAAGACAGCGTGTCCTTACGATGTATGCAATATGTGAATATTTTGCCAAAAATGGGGTTTTCATTAATATGCTAGCTTACATGTAAGGTGAGAACGCACTTCTAAAACTGTTGAACATTTATGGATAACAGTAGTGAAAACAAGAAGAGATTTATTGTCAAAAGAAGCTACGCTAACATACGAACTTCATGACTTTTATACGAAATATGCGAAACACAGTTATTGACCTTGTAAGAGAACCTAAGCAAAAGTATCTACTCAAACTTCAAAATCAATACAGACAGAACGGTTCAGGGGCATTCCCACTGCAATGCGAGGCGAAGTCTATTATGAACATTAACAATAAATCAAACAATGATGCTCCTCTTGTAATAAATGGTGAACTTAAATCACATCCTGTGGATAAAGCAGAATCTTTTAACTCATATTTCACCTCTGTCTCTACTTCTGACAAAACTGACCTTGACATTCCTCCTAATTGTCCTATCTCACAAGAAAAATTATCTACCATTATTATCACTGAACAGGATGTTCATGATCAGCTCCAACTTATTAATATAAAAAAACTTCCCCCTTATTTTATTAAAGGTATTGCTGACTCTCTTGTAAAGCCCTTACTGTTAATTTTTAACAAATCCATATCCACTGGTTGCATACCTAATATCTGGAAGTGTGCTAATGTTACCCCAATATATAAGGGCAATGGAGGAAGAGGTGACCCCAGTAACCATAGACCAATCTCTGTCACATCATTATTTAGTAAAAGTCTTGAAAAAATAGTTTTTAAACATCTCTTTAATTTTCTATCCGAGAATAATGTTATATCAAAAAATCAGTCTGGCTTCCTTCCCAATGACTCCACAGTTAACCAATTAATATATTTATATGATGAAGCTTCAAAACAACTTGATCAAGGAAAAGAGGCAAGGATAGTATTTTGTGACATCAGCAAAGCTTTTGACAGGGTTTGGCACAGTGGATTGATTTACAAATTGAAGAAATATGGAATTTGTGACGACGTTTTGAACTGGATTCATTGCTATCTTACTGATAGACAACAAAGGGTATCAATAGATGGATACAAGTCAAATTTACAAACATTAAAAGCTGGTGTATCCTAAGGCTCGGTTCTCGGGCCTTATTTATTTTTAATATTTATTGATGACCTAGAAGATGAACTCCACTCCCATGTCAAACTCTTTGCTGATGACACTTTTCTTTACGTTTTGATAGATGGTGATGGCAGACATGCTGCAGATATTCTTAATGAGGATTTAAGGAGAATGTCTCTCTGGGCTGATAAATGGGGAATATCATTTAAGCCAAGTAAAACTGAATCATAACTAATGTCTAATAAAAAATAATTCTGAGACATCTCATCCAGATTTGGTATTCTCAAATAGTGTCGTTATAAATGTCAAAAATCATAAACATCTTGGTTTGCTTTTTAATAGTCGTGGATCATGGTCTGATCAAGTTAATTATATATATGGAAAAAGCTGTACAAAACTACAAATAATGCGAATGCTCAAACACAAGCTAGATAGAAAATCTCTTGAAATAATTTATAAATCTTTTATAAGACCAACACTTGAATATGCTTGTGCTGTGTGGAATAATTGCACCCAGGGTGAAAGTGACTTATTGGAATCAGTCCAATTAGAATGTCTCAGAATTATATCAGGTTTGAGAAGAGGTACAAGTCATAACTTAATATATAAGGAAGTTGGTGTAGATAAACTAAAAATAAGACGTGATAATTACCAATGTATATTATTTTTCAAGATACTGCAGCATGACTGTCCTGACCATCTTTATGATTGTATTTTACCATATTTTAATAATGATATTAATCCTCGCCTTAGACATCATAGAAACTTTATTGTTCCCTTGTGCAGAACCAACGTGTATAAAAATAGCTTTTTTCCTAGAATGATGTCTCTATGGAATAGGCCAGACTGTATTTTTCCAAAACTCACTTCATTGAGCCAGTTAAAGCTGGAATTACTTAAGGAAAGCACACACATTTTGCAACCATCTAACTGTACGAATATTTTTAAATACGGTGGCTCCAGGAAGTTGAATATAACATTATGTCAACTACGTAATAAAGTCAGCCAATAAAAATCAGATTTATATAATGATCATCTTACAGATAACCCTAAATGTGACTGTGGTTATATTATTGAAGATGCAAATCACTTCTTCCTCAATTGCCCCAAATATATAGATGAAGGACAGGTTTTATTCAATGCGTTATCTAATTATAACGAAATTGACAACATCATCTTAAATACTGTTACTTTCACTAAGGGTGATATGAACCTTAGCAGTGAAATAAATCAATTTATTCTCTCATGTGTTCTGGAGTTTATTAACAAATCTGGAAGATTTTAACTTAAACTATACTAAAAATTATATTACAATGTGTTTGTATTTGCTATTTTATATCAATAACTCTGGTGTAATTGGGAAGGATGGCACTGTGTATAGTGACAGTGTCTTTGAAGTGCCTCCAACCAAACACTAGGCTATTAATAACTGAAGTAAATAGACTATATTAATTAAAATCTATGATATTCTAATTATTATTTTCTGTGAACATGTATTAAATGGGTCTAGTATTCTCCTATTAATTTGAACATATACTACATCTTCTCTATAATACTCTCTCTCTATATATATGTATATATGAATGTATGAAATGTGTGTATTTTCTGAGGAAAGGGGTTTTATAGGCAATGCCTGTGCCTAATCCAATTGTGTTTTTGAATACAATAAGATTGATTTGAAATGAAATGATATATTTCTGTTTTCGTCTTACGCAGACTTTTGTTAAGATGTCTACATAATCTGAGAAGACTTCAACATTGTCTGTTTTATTTTAACGTGCATCAAATACAAACGTAATTTCTGGCTTGACTGCAGAGATATCATTACCTTTGCATTCGATGATATATTTCCATAGAAAGCATAAGAAGGCCTCCTATCACATTTATTCATTAACATCAACACGCCAGAGATTGACACTTTATGTAGAAATAGTTCATTAATGTCGCACACGCACACACTAGGGAACCCCGCCTTCTTCAATTCGTTACGCTCCACAATATATTCTGATTGGTCTCCATTTGTTATAAAATAGCCACAGGACTTACTATTTGATTAACACACTGCATTGCTTACTGTGAACCTACAACAAGCGTAAGTAACATACCTGTTTTATTTCCTTAGAGTAACTTACATGTTTTCATATTAAAGAGTAAGTAACATACATGTTTTATTTCATTAGCGTAACTTACATATTTTCATTTCATAACAGTAAGTAGCATACATGTTTTATTTCATTAGAGTATCTTACATGTTTTCATTTCATAACAGTAAGTAACATACACATTTTCATTTCATAAGAGTAAGTAACATACATGTTTTATTTCATTAGCGTAACTTGCATGTTTTTATATTAAAGAGTAAGTAACATACATGTTTTATTTCATTAGCGTAACTGACATGTTTTCATATCATAAGAGTAAGTAACATACATTTTTTTCATTTTATAAGAGTAACTAACATACATACTTTATTTCATTAGAGTAACGTACATGTTTTCATTTCCTGAGAGTATCTGACGTGATTTCATTTACATAAGAGTAAGTAACATACATTTTTTCATTTTATAAGAGTAACTAACATACATATTTTATTTCATTAGAGTAACGTTCATGTTTTCATTTCAGAAGATGAAGTTACATCCATGTTTTCATTTCATTAGTGTAACTAACCTATGTATTTATATTTTACGTGTGCTGACATTTGCCAAGCGCAATTTTTCACATTACACAAGCGTTAGTAACGGTCATGTTTTCATTTCTCAGGTGTAAATAATTCAGATATTATTGTTTGCATGCTTAGAAACAAGTGGTAAGTTAAATACATGTTAACGTTTATATCTACTCGTAATAGAACAATTTTATAAGAAGTAATACCTAGTTGTTTATTAGCATAATTAAGATATATATTTCTCTTCTTGTTTCTGCTGTGTTGGCCTATAACTCAATTTATTATCACTCTCTTTGATCTCCATTGCCATTTGCTGGCAGTTTAACAGGGCAACACTGCAATTTTCTTTATAGTGTCATGATGCCCCGTACCCTGTTCGCGTTGTTGGTTGTGATCGTAGTTGTCAACGGAAAAGATCCGGTAAGATAATTGACCAACCATATGTTTGGCTTTTGATATTTATTTCAAATAAAAAAACATATAACTCATACATACATTTTTTCTTGTAAATTGTATCAAGTATAAATAATGAACATTGGGGAATTGAATGCCTAAATAATCGTTCAAAGTGACAAATTAAACATTATAACAAATACAATGACGTCTAAGGAGGTAATAGCTCATTATTTAGTTATGCTTTATAAACATTATTTAATGAGTACCTGTTTGTATTATCTCGGATATGAAAAAAAGCAAATGATACAAATGAAAAACAATTTGATATATTGGTAAGTACAAGTACTAATACAGAATAGGTTATTAAGAAACCAATAATGATAACAAACATATTATTGTATATATATACACGTACGTGTACCGTTCTAGTGTATATGTACTGCTGAATACGACCCATGGTGTGGAGAGGAAGGGGGGACATACAGCAACCTCTGTTGGCTCAAGTGTGCGTGAGTATAACCTGTATTGCGGAAAAGTTAAACAATAGTTTGACAATGCAAGAATGTGATTACGGATACGTATGGAACAATTTCTTAGTGTTTCTGTAGTTTATTAATTGTTTAACGAGATTATGAAATTGTGAATATGTATACACATCCTTAGATTCATTGTTATTAGATATTTTATACATTTAAAATATTTCTTGTGGATTTGATGTAAACTTGGAGATACGTCTTACTCTATATATTGAGTCAGTTTGGTGTTGAATGGGAAATAAATCTCACTCTAATTATTGAGCCAGTATTGTGTAAATTTGGAAATAAGTCCCACTCTAATTATTGACCCAGTATGGTGTAAAAAGTGAAATAAGTCCCACTCTAAGTATTGACCCAGTATGGTGTAAAATGGGAAATAAGTCCCACTCTAATTATTGACCCAGTATGGTGTTAATTTGGAAATAAGTCCCACTCTTATTATTGACCCAGTATGGTGTAAAATGGGAAATAAGTCCCTCTCTAATTATTGACCCAGTATGGTGTTAATTTGGAAATAAGTCCCTCTCTAATTATTGACCCAGTATGGTGTAAAATGGGAAATAAGTCCCACTCTAATTATTGACCCAGTACGGTGTAAAATGGGAAATATGTCCTTCGCTAATTATTGACCCAGTATGGTGTAAAATGGGAGATAAGTCCCTCTCTAATTATTGACCCAGTATGGTGTTAATTTGGAAATAAGTCTCACTCTAATTATTGACCCAGTATGGTGTAAAATGGAAAATAAGTCCCACTCTAATTATTGACCCAGTATGATGTAAAATGGAAAATAAGTCCCACTCTAATTATTGACCCAGTATAGAGTAAAATGGGAAATAAGTCCCACTCTAATTATTGACCCAGTATGGTGTAAAAAGTGAAATAAGTCCCACTCTAAGTATTGACCCAGTATGGTGTAAAATGGGAAATAAGTCCATCTCTAATTATTGACCCAGTATGGTGTAAAATGAGAAATAAGTCCCACTCTAATTATTGACCCAGTATGGCGTTAATTTGGAAATAAGTCCCACTCTTATTATTGACCCAGTATGGTGTAAAATGGGAAATAAGTCCATCTCTAATTATTGACCCAGTATGGTGTAAAATGGGAGATAAGTCCCTCTCTAATTATTGACCCAGTATGGTGTAAAATGGGAAATAAGTCTATATAATGAGTAACTGATGAAGTGTGGTATATGTTTCTTACTATGGTGTAGAATGGGAATACATATTACTGTATATACATGGTATTGTTATATAGAGTATGATGTGTTTAAAATAAATAAATAATAAGTTAAAAATGTAAAATATGAGATTTGTTTACTGTATTGATTCAATTAAATGTAAAATAAGAGATGAGTAACATTCTGTTGAATCAAAGTAATGTAAATGAGAATTATTTTATAAGGGTATAATTGAGTTACGCGGATGTAAAATAGGAGCTACGGTTTACTATATTGAGTCAATGTAATATGAAATAGGAGTTATGCATTACTTTATTGCGTCGCGGCTTGGTAAAAAAAGAACCATGTGTTAAATGCATTATAAGCTATAATACAAATGTATAGTCACTGCGGTGTAAAATAGGAGATACAGATTGCTTTATTGAGTCAATATGATATAAAATAGAAGATATGTAAGGATGTAACTGAGTCATTATAGTGTAATACAGGAGGATATGTGTCCGTTTATTTACTCGCTATTATGTAAAATATAGATATGCGTTTCTCTATTGAATTATTATAGGTTATAGACCATATATATATTACTATATTGAATAAGAACATGTATAACTTCATTTAGTCATGGAATTATAATATGATACGGATGACTCATAAAAGTAATATTTCCGGGTTATGTATTTCGTTAATAATTCATTTACAAGAACGTATTTATAACACTATCGAGTCAAACTGTTGTTTCCGTTTTCACTTTAGTGGAGACGAAATAGAAGGGCATGACACTTGTGAGAATATTGAGGTAACGTGACATGAAAGATGAACTTTTGAAATGACTGTATTTATATTCTAAGTAAGTGTACACAGACTGAATTAATTAATACATAATATTAATTATAATAATCAAAAAAAAAATTCAATAATTATTACATCACATCAACTGAAACACAATTAGGCAGATACCGGTATTTTGGTGCCCTTTTACAAGTAGATTCTTGGCAATGATTTAAATTTACTGTTTAGATTTTTTGCTATCTATAAATGTGTAGTGTAGTTTTGAAGAAGTTGCAATATAATTAATAGAACATTTTAAAGGTTAAAGTTTTATTGATGAGCGATGATTGTGATAAACTTTTGTATACAAAGTATGTGTATCAATGATTTTTATTATTTTGGAACACGTCACTCTGTAGGAATGCCTTAAAGCGTATCCGGAACCACCTTCTGAAAACGAAGTTTGCGCCGAATATGGTATTACATTTGATAGCATCGAAGAGATGGAATGTCAGTAAGTGCTCAGCGGAGATAGCCGATCGAGATACGCTTGTTTTTTTTTTGTTTGGTATATATATTGAATATGATAGGGACAATTTAGTGAAGTAAGCTTTTTTATAACCTTGTCACAAAACTATTCATGATTATATAGTTTGATACTCCCTATGACTAATTCATGTCGATAAATTTACAAGAGACAATGTTTTCTTGGCGTTTTTAATCCATAATGGAGAAATCCTTAATTGTACAGCCGTAGGTTTTAGCAGCAGCTGTCGGTGAATTCCAGACGAGGAAGGAACCTTTCGCTTTATTCACCTAGCATCTCTGGAAAACAAGTATATGCATTTATTCTGAATCAAAATCATCTTCCAACATCATCTTAAGCTCAAACATCGTTATAAATGATCGAGTGATCTATTGATATCGTACTTTCTGCGGTTTGAAATTCTCCCTGCGGAACGCTCTCAGTGCGTGAATGCTCTAATTGAACCTGTTCGCTCTTATTCAAATCCAAATGTGAACAGAAATATCTGATTAGAGGAATATATTATGATATTTATAATTTTTACTTGCGATGTATTGTGTAATTCAAGAATGTATTATGGGGGAACTCAGATACATAACTGCAGACACTGTTTTATCGCTCGACAGCGTAGTACCGTACATGTTTACTTCTCACTGAAAGGCCCGGATATTGCGCTATTTCGGTTGTGAAAACTGTTATCACCGGCTTTCCCAAAAGATAAAACTGACCCCACTGGACGTTGGCATCAGGTCGGGTCATTATAAACTACGTAAACTTTCGTAAGGAGATATATATTTTCAGTTTCGACTTGATTTTGAGGTTATTAAAAAAACTTACTTCACTAAATTGTCCCTTCAACATATTTATAATATGGGTTTGGACTTAAAAATATAAGAAATAAAAAACAACAGGAATTTAATAAATAAATAACAAAAATGCTCTTATTGTCCTGAAATTTAATTATTTACTTTAAATGTTGTTATAAATATTTGTTTGGTACCTCGATATTTTTTTTTCAACAGCAATTTGAGTTTTGTGCATGATGGCGAGTGTGACGGAGAAGCGAGTACAACAGATCAATGAAACATCACTATGGTATGTCATCATGCCTAATATGATATTACTTTACTTTAATTATAGTTTGATCAGGAAATCGTCAGATGACAATAGTCATACCATTTCTGTGACAGACGGGGTTTAAGATTACCCATTCTTAATGGCCATAACATCATATGTATGATAGGTCCTTGTACAAGTATTCGGTTTCGTAATATTCGCAGTTTTTTTTGGGTTCAACAATCTGCGTATGGTAACATTCAATGATTTATACAATTCATTTTACATGCCTTATAATTGTACTTCATTTGTTGTTTTAACTTAAACAATATCACTTACCGGTATACAGGTTACATCGAAAACTTCATTTTGCCATTTTTTCAGAAATGTTTTTTTTGTTGTTTTGTTTTAGGTGACACAAGTGAACACAGGAAACTTGTGATTACTACACAAAATACATCAGAGCGTCAATCATATAAATGCTAATTGAATGATTATTATCTGATTAAAGTAATTTTAGATCATGGACAGAATGTTCTTGTTTTTGTTCTGACTGCAAACAACGAAGAAAAGCCTTTCTCCCACAACCACTGTAGGTTTCCTTTCTCCCACAACCACTGTAGGTTTCCTTCCCCCCACAACCACTGTAGGTGTCTTTTCTCCCACAACCACTGTAGGGTTCCTTTCTCCCACAACCTCTGTAGGTTTCCTTTCTTCCACAACCACTGTAGGTTTGCTTTCTCCCACAACCACTGTAAGTTTCCTTTCTCCCACAACCTCTGTAGGTTTCCTTTCTTCCACAACCACTGTAGGTTTCTTTTCACCCACAACCACTGTAGGGTTCCTTTCTCCCGCAACCACTGTAGGTTTCTTTTCTCCCACAACAACTGTAGGTTTCCTTTCGCCCACAACCACTGTAGGGTTCCTTTCTCCCACAACCGCGGTAGGTTTCCTTTCTCCCACAACCACTGTAGGTTTCCTTTCTCCCGACTCATTGGTCAATCTTCTAATGATGACAGTGCTTTGTAACGTCAACTGCCACTGCGACCTCATAGTTTCATGCGCAGAGTTTGAGACTAGGTTTTAATAATTCTATAAAATTATCTTCTTCCTTTTCTCTCGAATAGTGTCTGATCAATATAATTGATATAAAAGTAATACATTTATTTTATCACCGGCATATTCACGAATATATTTATTAACATATGTAGATTTCGTAAATATTCGTATTCAGTTTGTTGTCTATGTTCACTCAAGCGTGTTCTTAGTTCATTGCTGGGTCGACCGATGCAAAGAAAAATCACGACAGGTATTGATTGTTACGTCATTGGTTTGTGTGAGAAAATTACGTCGTTTTCTCAAAAATTGATGGCATTACTCTCACAAACAAGTGACGTAACGATCAATACCTGCTCCCAAGAGAAGATAACTCTGCAATACGCAAAGACGGAATATATAAAAGTATTACGTTCAATAATCATTAGACATGTACCGCACCTTGGTGTTTTTCACTGGGAATCACCTAGTGTTACCCAAGAATGATTACACTCATCGCCTACGATGCTTATCAAAATGTTTCTCATATACCTGCTTCTTCGCTTCAATTCTTTACATTTGTTCTTTATAAACTCGAGAAGCCCTGTGAAGCGTGAACACCGATAGTTTTGAAGTCTGTCGATATATAATATTTTTCTATGATTATCCACTTCACATGAACATTTAATCTTTTTACATGTAATAACATATATATAAAACATCCTTTAGAATTAACAATGCTATCTGTGTGTATATAACCTAACGAAAAAATATGGTGCAAACGAATTTGGCAATGACCAGACGTGTAACTTCGAACTTAGAATAAAGTATGAGTAATGCAATTTAAACAAACACCTATGTAGGTGGCGTTGCAATCACATGGAAATATTTCAATTGTTAAATGTTCAAATAAAGGGATTGCCATCAGATGGTCTTATGTAATCACGAATTTGATCGTTAGTCTTCCTTCTAAGGAGTACACATGTCCTGATTTTATTTTCTGTCTTAAAGTGTATCGTAGAAAAAAAAAATCTTAATTTCCGAGGTAAATGTTGTTTTGTTTTAGAATTAACAAGACTACTTGTGTCTTGTAAGTAAGTTTTGAAAGGTAAAAGGCGAAATAATTGTCGTAAATTCGGACAGAACGGATCAATTGGCAGAGGTTAAGTCAACTGAGCCAAGTTTTATCCGTTGCAGAACTGACCAAGATACATGTATGCCGTTAAACGTGGTGCAGTTGGTCATCTTTCTTTCCAATGTTTGAAAATGAAATTATGTAGCTCGATTAGACCCTGTTTATATTTTAAGTACATGTGATGCCAAATTGTGAATTATATAGTTGTGTATCAAATGATTAATAAAACTCATATTTTATTCTTTTTTTTTATGAGTTGACTCGAAAGCTAAAGACACGTTAACTGCGTGTTATTTTAATGAAACGTTAAAACGAGTTACGTTTTGATATATATATATATATATATATATTCAGAATCCGCCTGAAGAAGCCCTAGAAGGCAGAAAGGCCTAGCGGACGAACTGAAAAATTTGTTTTTATTCTATATTTTCATTCGCAAGGACTTATTTATTTATTATCTACTATATATATATATATATATTGGTCAGAAACGGGACGACAAATTTCATCGTACTTGTCATTTTGTGCAAGCAAACGCCACATTTTGAACTTCTCAAATTCTAGTGGTAGGATTTTCTGAAACATGCCTGGAATTATCCTGATATGATGCGAACCAAATTTTGTTATTTTGTTCAACGAAGTTTGCAGAAGAAAAAGAAACAGGGTTCGTGCTCTCGTGTGCTCGTTTGTAAAGCTGATCAAGAAGTTTTTGGTCCATATCATGGCAACATTAAAGCTGACCGATCAAGTTTAAAAAAATCAATGTGGGTAAATATAAAGTGCTTTTACTGCTTTTGAGATGTTTCTCAGTGGCACTCTTTGCCTGCCGTGTCTAAGGATGATCTTTTAGTTTATGGTGTTAGATCTGTTGTCTGCAAAATGGCATCATCATACATATATTAGGTTGTACCTCTGTTTGGAAATCAACTGTCGCAAAGAAATTAATCTTTTTCATATTTTTAGCACACCTGGCCCGAAGGGCTTATGGCATGGTGCGGCGTCCGTCCGGCGTCAACTTTTTACTTTAAACAACTTCTTCTGAATAACCAAGAGGCCCAGGCTGATGATATTTGGCCAGTAGCATGCTGGTTTGAAGGGCTACCAAGTTTGTTTAAATGAATGACCTTTGCCTATTTTCAAGGTCACAGGAGTCAAATTTGTTAAAAACTTTCAACAACTTTGCTGAATAACCAGTAGGCCCAGACTGATGATATTTGGCCAATATTATGTTAGGATGAAGCACTACCAAGTTTGTTCAAATGGATGACCTTCGCCCATATTCAAGGTCACAGGGGTCTAATATGTTTAAACCTTTAAACAATTTCTTTTAAAAAATCAAGAAGTCTAGGTGTTGATATTTGGCCAGTATCATGCTTGGACAAAGGGCTACCAAGTTTGTTCAAATGACTGACTTCCGTCTATATTCATTGTCACAGGGGTCAGTTGTCTTGAAAACCTTTAAACGACTTCTTCTGTATAACCAAACGGTCCAGAGTGATGATATTTTGCCAGAAGGATGTTGCCATGAAGGGCTACCAGAGGTTTGTTCAAACAAAGGACCTTCTCTAATATTCAAGATCAAAGGAATCAATTGTCTTAAAAATCTTTAAATGACTTCTTTTGAATTACCAAAATGTCTAGGATGATGATATTAGGCCAGAAGCATGCTGGGATGACTGGCTACCATATTTTTTCAAATGAATGACCTCCATCCATATTCAAGGTCACAGGGGTCAATTGTCTTAAAAACCTTTAAACGACTTCTCCTGTATAACCAGAAGGTTCAGGGTGATGATATTTGGCCAGAAGGATGTTCATGCTACCAAGTTTGTTCAAACAAATGACCTTCACTCATATTCAAGGTCAATAGAGTCAATTGTCTTAAAAACCTTTAAACGACTTCTTCCGTATAACCAAAAGGTCCAGGGTGATGATATTTGGCCAAAAGGATCTTGGCATGAATGACTTTTGTCCCTATTCAAGGTCACTGGGGTCAATTGTCTTGAACAACTTTAAACGACTTCTAGAAAGTTTACAAGGGGAAAGATGTAGGGAGAGTGGCAAATCCATTTGAGGAAAAGCCATTACCTGATTTGAGGATTCCCCTTTTTGGACTTGATTAAAAAAGTACCCCTGGGGAGTTTCGATTAATTCATCATTTATATACATGTATATCTTATTATAAGGAAAATTCTGTCAATTCTGGTATTGATACAAAATTTGATGCTGCTATTGAATTAATCCAAAACTTATGCAGCGGGGCATTATTAGCAAAATCTGAAATCATGTCTGCTTTTCAGTTGTTGCCCATATCGCCACAAGATTTCAATTTATAGGGATTTAAACTTGATGGTTATTATTTTGATAGTGTCTTCCGATTTGCTGTTCATTATCCTGTAGCTTATTAAAAAACGAAAAAAAACCCCCAACATTCCAGAGCCTTAGAATTGATTGCCAGATTGGGGCATTAAGCTTATCTTACTGTGTGGCGGAATTCTGGCAAGTTGGCAACATAGCATGTTTCAATAAGCAAATACCCTATCTTATTGAGGTGGTACATGTATCATGGATAGGGCGGCTTGGTCTTCCCAAGGGACATACTTACATAATTCGGTGGTAATGTAATAATAAACGGGGAGATAACACTGGCAATAGATGGATAGATCCAATGATCCATGGGGCCATCATCTTGGTTAATAGCCAACTGCTTTGACCAGGGCGTGCTTTGCACAAGGGTTGTGTTCGCCTGGTGTTCCAGGGAACGGTCCTATCTTGTTGCTGTTTTGTCCGGTCCCCATGCTGGTGGGCATACAGCTGGAGATACCAGTCTTTGCCTGAGTTTTCAGATATGATCATTGGTACATGTTATTGCCAGCTGGTTGTGTGTATTATTGAAAAAATATGTGGCCATCAACCCAATAACTGTGAATTAAGTGTTTGTTTTAGAATAATGGTCTTAAAATACTTGCGCATAAATACATATATATATATACAATTCATATGAAGGCATTAGCAAATCTGCTACCATAAAAGTGGTTTTTAAAGATAAAATTATTTACAATAGGTCGATTTCTTTAATTAGTTTATTAAACTATTCCATGATTGAATGGTCGATGCGCATTTATATAATACATTTTGTATACATACGTGTATATTCAATACAAGGTGTTCTTTGATAACGATAGATGCACTAAATAAATATATATATATATTGCGTAGTTTCGTTTATCATATATATATAATGCGTAGTTTCGTTATCACTGCAAATAAACAAGATATCGAGTTACTGCGACAGTCGGAATAATGCTTATTGTGAAACATAGCACGCCCGATAGAACCACACCGGAAATAAGACACAAAACAGGAACTAGTTTGCGAAAAGGATCTAAGGTAAGTTTACAGAAGTTATCACAATTTCTGTTTGAAATTGCGTATTTCATATCAGATGCAATGGCTTAATAAACAAAGCATGATGCAATGCTGATTAATAAAATAAGAAATCCAATGTTATAAATGCAAAAGGACATACGCAAAAATTATTATGCCTCAGACTTAAGATAGTGTCATTTCTGTCTTAGAAGCTACTAGGAGCAGCGTCCTTAGTCTAATATTCATTTATGTATAACAATTGACACTTACTACGTGCGAATGCATCTGTTACTGTCTTCTACATAGTGTTATGTCGGTGCGTACAGCCCGATAAATCAAGTTTTAATTTCTAATGAGTATTATTTACGTTGTATCATCACATATTTAAATGATTATATTGTCTGCTCATTTTGTCTGTATTAAATATTAATTGCTTATATACATGTATAGATGAGTAGTTTGGTTCAGCACTGCTAAGTTTAAAGACATTTTCTGAGAAAAGATATACTTTTTTTATATTTTGCTTTACGTTGACAAAATTAACATAGGAAATATAATTTCTTTCAAAATCGCTAAGACAACATATAGAATAATCTATATGTAGTGAGAACAGAGAAACATAAAGGCAGAAAGTACAATTCATATGAAGGCATTAGCAAATCTGCTACCATAAAAGTGTTTTTTAAAGATAAAATTATTTACAATAGGTCGATTTCTTTAATTAGTTTATTAAACTATTCCATGATTGAATGGTCGATGCGCATTTATATAATACATTTTGTATACATACGTGTATATTCAATACAAGGTGTTCTTTGATAACGATAGATGCACTAAATAAAATTCCTCGCAGCTTTTTATTTGTTTAATAGAGATCGTTTATCATCACATTATAAAAAACAAGAAGATATTTATTGTCAAAAGCAGTTTCGCTAGCACGCGTACTTCATGACATTAATACATCTGTTATAAATCCCCTCAATTGTGATATATTTATGTTTTCGTCTAACAAGGTACATATATATATATATACATCTTTGTTATCATTTCGACATATTCTGTTTCGCTTTAACGTGCATTAAATACAGGCTTAATGTCAGAAATATGACCTTTTCAATCGGTGATAAATTTCAATAAAAAGCAGAAGAAGACCTCATCAAACATCTATTCATAAACGTCAACACGCCCAGTTAAAGCCTCTTTAATCGATTGCAGTAATTGACACTTCATATAGAAATATTTCGTTAATGTCGCACACACCAGGGAACCCCGCCTTCTTCAATTCGTTACATTACAGAACAGATTCTGATTGGTCTCCATTTATTATAAAATAGCCAGAGTACTTGCTATTTGATTGTCACACTGCATTGTTAGCCGTTGCTAATTGTTGTACCTGCCACAAGCGTAAGTAACATACCTGTTTTCATTTTATAAGAGTAACTAACATACCTGTTTTCATTTCATAAGAGTAACTAACATACCTGTTTTCATTTTATAAGAGTAACTATCATACCTGTTTTCATTTCATTAGAGTAACTAACACACATGCTTTCATTTCATAAGAGTAACTAACATACCTGTTTGCATTTCATTAGAGTAACTAACATACCTGTTTTCATTTCATAAGAGTAACTAACATACCGGTTTTCATTTCATTAGAGTAACTAAAATACCTGTTTTCATTTCATAAGAGTAACTAACATACCGGTTTTCATTTCATTAGAGTAACTAACATACCTGTTTTCATTTCATATCAGTAAACATTTCACAAGCGATACCAAAATCCATATTTACTTAAAATACCCAAAACACAACAACTTATGTGCTGATAGTTTACATTTGTTTTAATTTTACAAACGTAATTAACAGACATGTTTACATTTCTAAAGTATACCTAATACAGTTTGTGTGAGTGTGTGTGTGTGTGTGTGCGTCCTTAGAAACAAGTGTAACGTAATATACATGTTAACATTTACATATACTCGTAAAAGAATCATATTTACTTTAGTAAGAAATACTACCTAGATAGTTGTTATTGTAATTTAGGTATATATTGCTCCTCTTTTTATATTTCTTTTGTTGGCTTGTAACTTAATTTATCATCACTCTCTTTGATCCCTATTGTCGCTTGCTGGCACTTTTAAAGGGCAACACTGCAATTTTCTTTATAGTGTCATGATGCCCCGTACCTTGTTCGCTTTGTTGGTTGTGATCGTAGTTGTCAACGGAAAACCTTCGGTAAGATAATCAACCATATATTTGGCTTTTGATATTATTTTCAAATACAAAATCATATTACTCATGTTTCTTGTAAATTGTACCAACTAAAAATAATAAAAAATACATCATTGAGGAATTTAATATAACTGAGGAATTTAAAGCATATATAATCGATCAAAGTTACAAATTTAATATTATTACAAATACAGTGACGTCTAACAAAGTAATAGCCCATGTTTACATTACTTAATGAATACTGGTTAGAATGTCTTGGATATTAGAAAAAAATAGGACAATGAAAAATAACTTGATTAATTGGAAAGTATAAGAACTCAATAAAAAATAAGTTATTAATAAAACGATAAGAAATGGGTAATGTGATTACATATAAACGTACCTGTACCGGTCTAGTGTGACTGTGATGACGAATACGACCCGTGGTGTGGAGAGGAACGGACATACGGCAACCTCTGTCAGCTCAAGTGTGCGTGAGTATATACAATGTAACTCGGCCTTAGGGATGTAGTAATGTAATTACACATTTGTAGGAAACGATTTCAACAACTTCTGAGCTTTTCTGTACTATGTATATTTATTGTGAATGTAACACTCGAGTCACGGTAATGTACAATAAAAAATTCGGTATAAGTTACAATTGAGCAACTCGGATATAAAGTAGGAGATACTGTTTATTTCACAGAGTTCTACTCTGTTAAATTACTGGTGTAAAATGATACATATTTGTAAATTCATTTAGTCACTGAATTATAATATGAAACGGGCAACTCATTCGAGTAATACCAATCTCGATACTCAAGGGATTACGATGACATACGCTCTCTCGACTCCTGGAATATGTCATAGCAACATTGAATTCACGAACATAGCTTTTTGATTGGTCTTGAGTACAACACCTGACCAATCGCTAGGAAGATACCTGTCCTTTGAAGATTCAAGAGGGGTGACACCCGACTTTAAAGCCATTCAGTTTTACCGTAACGCTCAAGCGAGATTCTTTTGATGTGCATCAAAGAACTATACTAGTCTTCTTGTATCATTCACAAGGTGGTACTCACTTTCGATTTTGCTATGACATGTTCCATGGAAGCACAGAGAGTAGGTGAAGGTAACCCAGGTAGTATTGAGGATGAAGCAATATCAACGTTTAATGTATTTCTCTATTGAGTCATTTTGGAATAAAATGAGATATATTTATTTTGTTCACTTCAGGGGAGACGAAGTAGAGGGTCATGACACTTGTGATAACATTGAGGTAACGTGTACAAACTGTTGAAAAGGCTATATTTATATCGAAGTTAATGTACACAGCCTTGAACTTGTACTTATAAAATATTTCAATTATTAAAGAATTATATCAATTGGAAACCATTTCAGCAAATGCTGATATTGTGTTGCACTTTTGAAATTTAGTAACTTGACAATATTTTCAATGTGCAGTCGAGAATAGTTGCTATCTTTAAAGGTATAGTATAGTAAATAAAATATCTCAAAGTATAACCCCTTGTTTACTAAGCACATATAATCTGTATCAATAATTTGAATTATTTTGGATCACGTCACTTTGTAGAAATGCCTAGAAGGGCTGGCGGATACAAATGATGGAACCGAAGTTTGCGCCGAGTATGGTATTACATTCGATACCAACGAAGAGATGGAATGCCAGTAAGTGCTCAGCAGAGTCACAGAGATACGCTTCTTGTTTTAGTTTGCTATATATTATTGAATATGATATGGTGCTATTGACATATCTATAATATGGGTTTCGATTTTGAAATATATGAAATCAAAAACCAAGATATTTGATAAATAAAAAAATAACAGAAATAATAGTATTGACCTTAACTATGTTTTACCTACAATATAATTGTAAATCTTTTGTATGTTACCTCGATATTTTTTTATTCAACAGCAATCTTAACTTTGTACATAACGGCGAGTGTGAGAACTGAGAAGGAGTAGAACAGATCAAAGAAACATCAGTATGGTATGTCATCATGCCTAATATATCTCTTTACTTCAATAATAGTTCGATCAGGATGACAATAGTCATATTATTTCTCTTTGGAATATACAGGGTTTAAGATTACATGTTCTTATTGAAAAAAAACCTCTACGTGTAAAGTGGGTCTTGGTACAAATTCTGCTGTATTACGATTTTGGATTATTCGAGGTTTAGCATAGACAATCTGTGAATGGTATATTCAATAACTCATCCAATTGTAAATGCCTTGTAATTACTCTTTATTTGTTAATTTTAACTTTAAGCAATATCACTTACCGGTATATCAATCATACAATATGATGAATTATAGGTAACATCCAAAACCTCATTTTGCCATTTTTGTTTTTAAATGTTTTCGTTTTGTTTTTGTTTTAGGTGCCACAAGTGAACACAGAAAACAGTTGATTACTATCCATAACCAATCAGAGCGTCTAAAAGTTGAATGCTTATTAGATGTTCATTATCTGATTAAATTGATTTTACGTCATCGACAAAATGTACTTGTTTTTGTTCTGACTGCAAACAACGAAGACAAACCTTTCTCCCACAACCACTATAGGTTTCCTTACTCTTTGGATGAGGGTGGTCTGGTGACGCAGTAGATAGCGCACTTGCCTTTCACTAAGGTGGCCGGGGTTCCATTCCCCGATCGCACGTGCAAAGGTATGGGGTAACCTGCCCGGGGTTTCCTCCCATAGTAAGACACCTCCATCAGGGCCAACAAGAGTGATTAGTATAAGTTGTAAAAAAATGTTTCATTACTGTTGTAAAATAAATAAAGTCTACATCATTGGATGAGCCTGCTAGGCGTTGGTCAACACTTTTTGGTTACACTGCGGTTCTTTATCACAGGAAACATATTACAATTCCGTGGATTGAAAGTAGAAACAAAAGGAACTAACTTTGATTCATCCTTTAGGTTTTGTAGACGGGAAGTAAAGGGTCCCTTTTCAATAGCCTTCTGTATACCATGTTCTATTATCTCAGTAGGATAACTTGAGCTTTAAGGTACTGCTTTAGTCAACTAGACAATCCACGGAATTGTAATATGTTTCCTGTGATAAAGAACAAATGTGAAGAGTTAAAGCAAAGTAGCAGGCGTATGAGAAACAATTTTTAATAAACAAGCTATTTTACATTGTAGACGCCAACCTAAGAACTTGAAACGTATGTCGACATGTTCTAAGTTCGATAATTCTTGTTGCTTAATGAAAGAGCACTTGATCGAGTCCAAAACAATGTTTACTTTTGACAGTTTATCGGTAAATTACACACAAATTCTGACTCTTTTGTCCGCTCACACCTTAACATTCGACTTCAGCGTATAAATACATGAACCTAGAAAAATAAGATACAATGACCGACTTCAAAACTAACCGATTTCAGCCTTTACAGAGCTCTTCATACGTATTTCGAAAGAACAACGTCATGAAGTCACAAATACTGGTCATCACACTACTATCGGAATGTCACTATGTACACAAGAGTGGTAGACAAACCAGCGCAAATTTTTTATGTTACCTGTTGAGACGAGGTTTTAAGATTTCGATGGAATTATCTCCCTCACTTTCTCTTAGAATAGTGTCGGATGAATATACAATATATATAATATATATAAAGGTGATACATTAAATTTATCACCGGCACATTCGTGAATATATTAAGTAACATATGTAGATTTCGTAAAGATTCGTATTTAGTTTGTTGTGTATGTTCATTCATGCATGTTCTGAGTTCATTGCTTGTTTGACCGATGAGAAAAAAGGACATTCGGAACAACTTATTGCATAAATTACGCTATTTGCTTTACAATTCATATTATCCTTTACTGTAAATTTCATACCATTATCAAATATAAAGGTTCTACGTTCAATAATCATTTGACATGAACTGCACCTTGGTGTCTTACACTTGGATACTTCTGGTATTACACAAGATTCATCATACTTTGATCACGTCAATATACGTTTTAAGTTTTTAGGTTGGCGCCTGCTATGTAAAACAGTATGTTTATAAAAAATGTTTCTCATACGCCTGCCTCTGTCATTTAACTCTTTTCATTTGTTCTTTATTACTGGAGAAGTCCTATCAAAGGTGAAAGCTGCTCATCTTTTAACATGTAATTTCATATAATTATTTTTAAGAATCAATACTTCCTGTGTGTATAACTACTGATGAAATAAAAAAGGGACACGAATTTGACAATGAACAGACGTGTGAATTTTGTTTAACAATGAAACATATGTTTTGGTACTTAAATTGCGGAAGAGCAAAGCAGGAGTAAAACAATTAAACACAGTGATTTCCTTTGTTAGGGGTGTGCAATCACTTTGAAAAAATCAATTGTTAAATGTTTGAATAAAGGGTTTCCAATCAGATGGTCTTATAATGCATTTGACCATGTGTCATCTTCCTAAAGTTTACCCATGTCCTCATTATTTATTTTCCGTTTAAGGGTGTTAAAAAAGAAAATAACTGTAAGAAAAAGGAGCATACAACATAACTGATATAGCCCATATATAAATAATCCATTCAGTGCCCTAAAACTCACAGCTAAACTGTCTTGAAGATCTTGGACAATTACTTTATTTTCAATGTTTATGTATTTATCTGTATGGGTACTTAAGGTAGATTTAAAATTACTGAGGATAATCAGTAAATGAAATAGTAATAAGTTGATGTCTAACAGCCACACAGCAAATGATGAATGTCGGTATGTTATTCATAAGAATTGACCTCTCAAACAAACTTTTACACGCAACAGAAAAAAAAGATAAATTCAGGGCTCCCAAGATTTCCCCAAAGGCATAAACTATTTCTTTTTGAAATAAAGGTGTATCACCTCAAGATTAGGTCAAAGAAATATTCATTTACATCACGCTAAGCAAAAGTTTAGTTCTCGTAGAATAAGATGTTTATCGATCGAGTTTAGATGCAAAGAACGTTACGATATCATACTTTGTTTATCAAATTCAACTGAGTTAAGCCACGTTTAATAATCATGTGTAATGCTAATCATACGAGTTTCAATATCATATGCTCTTTATCAAACGAGTTCACATATGTCATGTTTATCAAACGCTTCCCCATTTATCATGTTTATCAAAAGCGTTCTCCCATATCGTGTTGGTCAAACTAGTTTCTATATATCATGTTTATCAAACGATTTCCCATTTATCATGTTGGTCAAACGAGTTCCAATATATCATGTTTATCAAACGAGTTCCCATATATCATGTTTATCAAACAAGTTCACATATATCATATTTATCAAACAGGTTCCCATATATCATATTTATCAAAAGGGTTCCCATATATCATGTTTATCAAAAGAGTTCACATATATCATGTTTATCAAACGATATCCTATATATCATGTTTATCAAACGAGTTCCCATATATCATGTTTATCAAACAAGTTCCCATATATCCTGTTTACGGAATGAAGTTCCATATGTCATGTTTTATAAACGATTTCCCGTATATCATTTTTATCAAAAGAGTTCTCCCATTATATGTTTGTCAAACGATTTCTCATATATCATGTTTATCAAACAAGTTCCAATATCATGTTTATCAAACGAGTTCCCATATATCATGTTTATCAAACGAGTTCCCATATATCATGCTTAACAAACAAGTTCCTATATATCTTGTTTATCAAACGAGTTCCCATATATCATGTTTATCAAACAAGTTCCCATACTTCATATTTATCAAACAAGTTCCCATATATCATTCTTATCAAACAAGTTTCCATATATCATATTTTTCAAACGAGTTCCCATAAATCATTCTTATCAAACAAGTTCCCATATATCATGTTCATCAAACGAGTTCCCATAAGTCATTCTTATCAAACGAGTTTCCATATATCATGTTTATCAAACAAGTTCCCATGAATCCTGTTTACCGAATAAAATTCCATATGTTATGTTTGTTAAACGCTTTTCCATATATCATTTTTATCAATAGAGTTCTCCCATATCATGTTTATAAAAGGAGTTTCTACATATCGAGCTTATCAAAATAAGTTCCCTTATATCACTTTTATCAAACGAGTTTCCATTTATCATGCTGATGCAATGAAGTTCTCATATCATATGATATTTATCAAACGAGATCCCATATATCATATTTTTCAAACGAGTTCCCATATCATATGATATTTATCAAAAGAGTTCTAACAAATAATGTTTATCAAAAGAGTACCCACATATCATGTTTATCAAACGAGTTCCCATATATCATGTTTGTCAAACGAGTTTCCATATATCATGTTTATCAAACGAGTTCCCATATATCATGTTTATCAAACGAGTTTCCATATATCATGTTTATCAAACAAGTTCCCATCAATTCTGTTTACCTAATAAAATTCCATATGTTATGTTTGTTAAACGCTTTCCCATATATCATTTTTATCAATAGAGTTCTCCCATATCATGTTTATCAAAGGAGTTTCTACATATCGAGCTTATCAAAATAAGTTCCCTTATATCATTTTTATCAAACGAGTTTCCATTTATCATGCTGATGCAATGAAGTTCTCATATCATATGATATTTATCAAAAGAGTTCTAACAAATAATGTTTATCAAAAGAGTACCCACATATCATGTTTATCAAACGAGTTCCCATATATCATGTTTATCAAACGAGTTTCCATATATCATGTTTATTAAACGAGTCTCCATATATCATGCTTATCAAATGAAGTTCCAAAATATCATGTTTATCAAACGAGTTCCCATATATCATGTTTATTAAGCGATTTCCCATTTATCATGCTTATGAAACGAAGTTCCCATATATCATGTTTATTAAACGAGTTCTCATATATCATATTTTCAAACGAATTCCCATATATCATGGTTATCAATCGAGTTCCCATATATTATGTTTATCAAACGAGTTTCCATATATCATATGATGTTTATCAAACGAGTTGTCATATTATATGATATTTATCAAAAGAGTTCACACAAATCAAGTTCATCAAAAGAGTTTTTATTAAACGAGTCTCCATATATCATGCTTATCAAATGAAGTTTCAAAATATCATGTTTATTAAACGAGTTCCCATACATCATGTTTATTAAGCGATTTCCCATTTATCATGTTTATGAAATGAAGTTCCCATATAACTTGTTTATTAAACGAGTTCCCATATATCATGTTTATCAAACGAGTTCCCATTACTTATGTTTAACAACCCTGTTTCAATATCATATGTAATATTAATCAATCGAGTTCCCATATATCATGCTTATCAAACGAGTTCCCATATATCATGTTTATCAAACGAGTTTCCATAACATATGATGTTTATCAAACGAGTTTCCATATTATATGATATTTATCAAAAGAGTTCACACATATCAAGTTCATCAAAAGAGTTTTCACATATCATGTTTATCAAAAGAATTTTCACATATCAAGTTAATCAAACGAGTTCCCATGTATCAGGCTTATCAAACGAGATTTAGT